TAGGTTTGTCTTCCATATGGGACCCAACAAAACACCTGGAAAATACTGAAGTATTCAAGTGCAGCCAGTGTAGTTAAATCAAAGATCCTGTGCCTCTGCACTAGTGACTAGATTCACAAAAGGACTTAGGCGCCTGCCACTGCAGGAACCTAAATCCCAGAATCAGGTCCCACAGGTATTCACAAAACCCTGGTCAGCTGCCCCTGAACCCTTTAGGCCTGAACCTAAAAATCGCTCAGCACCTAAATTTTTGCAGTAAAGTTTCCTGGGCACCGACATTTCTACCTCTGAGCATAAGCACTGCAACTGCACGGCAAGCATCCAAATGCCTAAGTCCTCATAAATTCACAAACCAGGAGTAGGTAGATAGGTGTTCCTCCACCTAATTCACCTGCGGGGCCTGATCTAGAAAGCAAGCTCCGACCTCAGCTACTAGATCAGGCCCCTAATAGGCAATCTCATACAAAATAAGGGAGATGGGGGAGAGAAAGTCCCTCACAACTTTTAGCCCAGTGGTTAGGATAGTCATCTGGGATATCTCCAGTTAAGTCTCCCCTCCATTTGAGGCTGAAAAAGGGTTGAACAGGGATCTGCCACCTTTCAGGTGAATGCCCTCGTCTAGGATATTCTGATGTGGGGCTCCCTCGGTTTTTGCTGTTGAAGCTGTTGTACTCTGACTTTTTTAATTATTTATCCATCAACATTCAGTATCATGACACCTAATTTTCTTTGTGAATCTAGCCCTTAATGCAGGTTTATTTTCTGGAGAAGAAAGAGTTTGAGCAGTATTTTAAAAAGACAATATAAACTAATTTTGAAGGCAGAATAATTGCAGAGCGGCCATTTCCTGTTCATGAGAGGTCTTGCATTCTTCACATTTTCATTTTTGAGAAAGGGTGAGGGAAGATGATTTCACAGTTATATTATCAAATTAGATAGATACTTTGATAGGGCACAGTAATGCCAACCGGTTAGAATTTACAGCAGAAATGTCTGTAGACATTCACTATCCAGTTGCAAAAATAAATAAATAAAATTAACAGAATTTTTAAAATGTGGATTGCAGCAGTATCCTTATTTCTAGTGTATAGTGGCTAATTCAAGTCGTATGACTAAACCACAGAGGAGAACAAATAGCACCTTTACTTTATATTCAAGAAAAAGTATCAATCTTCCTTTCTGGGTATATAAAAAGTACCATTTTATTAATGTATGAAACAAATATAAAACAACATTCCACACCTTACATGGTTTAAAGACTTGGGGGGTTGGGGATGGAAGGGCACAGAGGGAAATATAACAACTCTGGGCCTGATCCTGAACCAACCAAAGATTACAGATGGAATTTTCAAATGCGCCAAAGTGACTTAGGAACACAAGTCTCATTCTAAATCAATGGGATTTATGCTGCTAAATATTTAGTTGCTTTTTAAAATTCCATACTATGGGTGTGCTGCTCTTGATTTCAAGAAGAGCAGGACTGGGCCTCAATAATAGTACAAGGTTAAATTGGCGGCCTAGTGAGTAGAAATTCTGAAGAAGACACCTATCACTTAATTATCTAAACCCTTGGATGCAAGTTTCTTAGAGACAAATCTCTCCAGCCATTTAAAGGAATGATGTTAACAGGAGCCACAGGAAGATCCATCTACTGTCGTTTTCTAACTGGGAGATGGTTGTTGTGACACTAGGTCTTGAGGGAGGGTGAAGGAAGGGGTTTACAAAAAATAAAATTAAAAACAAGAACCCAATGAGAGTGGAAGAATCTCTCACGCAATATAAAGAAAGAACCCCTCCACCTTTTCCCCTACTGAACTGTATGGGAAAGTCTAACAGAATTTATTATAAAAAGGACAGTCTTTCTGTAGAGTTATTTAGCAATGGAATTTAATAGAAAATTTTATCCCTGCTATAGAATATCTATCCAGGATCAAAAAACTAGAGACAAATGATCTAATTTTCTATTAAATTCCATAGGGTTTTAGAGTAAATTCTATAAAATCCTATGGGTTTCATCTCTATACAAAAGTCCTAACAGTTAATAAAGGGAAACAGAAAGACTAAACCTTCAGTACCCATCTTGCAGTTTTTACTTTTCTTTACTCAAGTCTGCTTTACAATGCATTGACTTTAACCATCAAAAAGTTAAATATTAACATTACACTGATCTGTGGTGTAATTGATACAGCTTTACTCAGTTGACCTTAGCTTCAAATGAATTTATTCAGACTTTAAAGTGGTAGTGATAGCAATAAACATGTCTGTCCAGATTCAGAAGCTTTCTCAAATGTCACTTAGCCTCACAAAAAACCACTTATTAAGCTGTTTGCTCACAACTTTCAAACTATGAGATGACTATACTCCTTTATAATTTTACAGCTTGTCACCGCACAAAAACACCCAATAAATGGGAACAGATCCAACGTGAAAGTAAGATGTGTAAGAGTCACGCTGATAGTACTCCAGGAGGCCAGGGCAGCCAAATTTTAAAAGTGCTACCAACATGATCAGCAGCAGCCTGTCTCAGGAGCTACACTTAGGGTCCAAACCAATTCATAATAGTTTCATCCATTCACTTAGCCCTGGGGGAGGTGGGGGGGGAAATATCGATCTAAGTTACGCAACTTACGCTATATGAATAACGTAGCTGAAGTCGACGTACTCAGATCGACTTACCATGGTGTCTTCACCGTGGTGAGTCGACTGCTGCCACTCCCATGTCAACTCCACCTGCGCCTCTCGTGGCGCTGGAGTACAGGAGTCGACGAGAGAGTGCTTGGGGGTCAATTTATCACACCTAGACTAAACGCAATAAATCGATTCCTGCTAGATCGATTGCTGCCCGCCGATCCAGCGGGTAGTGAAGACATACCCTTAGATTAACTCTTTTTAAAAAAATATCTGAACTATTTACATGGATAACTTTTTTTTGCCGTTTCTCTCCATATACTATAGCGACTGATTACATACAGTGTATTGTTGCACTGGGCCGTTACAATATGGCCCACGGATTTTAACAGATATTTAAAGGCTAATTAATTCTGGCATCTCACCTTTGTTGCAATATCCTTCTGTAGAAGCAGTTTTAGGTTCTTCTATAAAAGTCACCCAGGAATTCACCCTCCAGGCCTGTCTATACTAGAGATGTTTTTTATCAAAATATCCCACCATCACCAAGCCTGGTTAAGTTCCACTGGTTTTAACAATGTTAAGAGGCTTAGTACAGAATGGCTGCGTGCCACTAAGCCTGTGAGCATAGTGTAGAGTTCAAGAGATCCACCCAAATTGAACTTTTCAGGATCCTTTTAAAATGGGGTTGGGGAGCCCCGTGTGGGCTTGGATGATCAAGTTCTATGCTGACCTCAGCATACAACTGTAAAGGCACTCTCCACCTACTTCCAGAACTCTTCCTCACCTCCTATTTTGCAGGGAAGGGATGATACAGGTGATGTGAGCGACCCTCCCTCTTCCCAATCACATATTTTATTGTCTAAGCTGAGTGAAATGCCAACACATGCACCATGCAGTAAATAGTGAAAAGTAAATTTGATTTATCTTTCCAGTTTTAATCTAAAGTAACAAAATAAATGTTACAGACTCGGTGGATTTTGATTTTTGCCATGTGACGGGGTATGAACTTTTTGTAACTCTGACTTGGCCATGTGACTGGGGACAGGAAATATTTCTTAGCATTCCTGTATATCATTCTTTTGTTCCAGTCAAGCTAATATATTAGTGTCCTTTTTATCTTTTAAATTTAGAAGTATGGAAAACCAACTTGAGGTAAAATGGCCACACTGAGTTAGTCATGCATTATTGTAAATTTCATTGCACTAGTCACTTTACCCATAATCAAGATATTATAGATGATATAGTAGTTTATCTTTATTATTATTATTACTCAGATTTATTATTTTAAGCTGAATATTTGTACATTAGTGTATGATAAGTGTATTCTTTGAAACTCTAGCCCTGAATATTACTGTCCTACTAACTCCATGGAGAACTGTATTCTTAATCGTGCAAGTCTCTAAACCAAGGGCCTGTTCCTATGGACTGCCCCAGTGTTACTATCTCTCATGATTTTATCAAGTCTCATGATCTTTGGTGTTTTTCGTAGTACCCCAGGTGTTGGAATCGGATTGCATGAAAAGTCCAGCTTTCTTTATGAAAAAAGTTGCGTCCTCATGGTTCTGGAAAGCTTCAAAACATGAAGCAAGCGCACCTTAAAGTTTCAGAAAAATAGAAATGTATTGTTTTTAAAAATAATCTCATGACTTTTGAAAGCTTGGGGTTGGCAGTACTGCAGGCACCCCCAGGAAGCATGCTGCCTGTAGATATTGTTCTTCCACAGTTGAGTAGTTGAAGCCACACAGCAAGATACAGCAGAAAGGAGCTCCTGGCAAAATATCCCTGGGTCTAGATAGGGTAACATGGAGTGGAGAGTACTTGATCTCCAATTCCACACCAGGCTCTGACCCAGAAAATAAAAGTTTGAAGACTGGGAAGTAAATGGACTTGAGACATACAAGCATCTACAGACTCCTGATGAGCAGAGAGAGCATGCAGGTATACCTCCCAGTCTTCAATCTTGTACATATATTTCACTGGTTATAAATCTGTGATGCATTAAATAATTGTAATCTAGGCTCTTGCCTAGTAACAAAGATTTAGAATGCAGAACTGAACAGAACTTTCTTGAAACTTTCAGGATGATGGAGTTTCACTCATTTAGACCTTGTCTATGCTAGGAAATTTTAAGGGAAAAAAAATCCCACTGGTGCTGCCATTAGCACAGGTGAGAGCACTATATACACATGATTTTGGGAGCATTGAACAGTGTCAGTTAAACCTGCAGTAACTAGACCAAAAGACTTAGGACTTGATTTTGCATCCTCCATTCCCACTGACTTTAGCCTCACTTCTTCTGATCTAGTTACTGAATTAAGAATCACATTTATCCCCAACCCTCCTTCTAAAATAAAATATTAAATAGTTACCTTATAAAAGAAATTAGTACGTCCCACAGATCCTATTTTCCCAGTGTGGTTCATGAAAGAAATGTTTCCTTCAGTAGCCCCATAAAACTCACACATTTTGATGTCACCAAATCGGCCTAAAAATTCTCTCCATACATCACTCCTTACTCCATTTCCAACTGCCAAGCGAACTTTGTGATCTTTTTCTCCTTCTTTCTATTAAAAGAGAAATTAAAGAAGATTTTAAAGAATAAAATATTATAATGCATGTATTTGATTGTAGCAGATGTTACAAAAAAAATATGTACAAACTTTCAGACATCCAACAGAAAGCAAAAGAGAAACTAATAAGTTAAAGTAAATTACAGTGCATTTCTAATGTTGTGAACTATATCTAAGATACAGCTGTAGTTCAGCAAACACTGAACCAGTGTCATAAATATATGCATGTAAATTGATTGCAACGGTTAAAATGTTGCTTAAATGAATATTTAAAAAAGGATACTTGGATTAGAGAATATGAATATATGCAGGTTTTAGAAAAATTAACCGAACATTCTTCTCTCTAGAACAACTTTAAATTAAAAATTGATGTTGGGGAGAGGTTAGTAAAATGAACAGGGAAAAGCAGGAATTGCTTTTGTAACAGATTTACATCAGGAGAGGTTATCAGTTACCTCCTTGTCCTTTCAAATGCATTATAACTTTCATGAAATCTTGGTTGCGTCTCAGGCAATTACAAATTATGAGCATTCCTGTCCTGATTAGAGCATATGATCCATCTCCTATAGCATCTTCAATATTAAGACTTGCAACTAGGGCTGTTGATTAATTGCAGTTAACTCGCGCAATTAACTCAAAAAAATTAATCATGATTAATCGCAGTTCAATCGCACTGTTAAACAATAGAATACCAATTGAAATTTATTAAATATTTTGAATGTTTTTATATAATTTCATATATATTGTATTCTGTGTTGTAATTGAAATCAATATATATTATTTGATTCAAATATTCACACTGTAAAAATGATAAACAAAATAAATATTTTTAATTCACCTCATACAAGTACCTTACAAATGTAGATTTTATTTTGTTACATAACTGCACTCAAAACCAAAACAATTTAAACTTCAGAGCCTAGGCTATTAGCCAGGATGGGCAGGGATGGTGTTCCTAGCCTCTCTTTGCCAGAAGCTGGGAATGGGCGACTGGGAACGGATCACTTGATGATTACCTGCTCTGTTCATTCCCTCCAGGGCACCTGGCATTGGCCACTGTTGGAAGACAGGATACTGGGCTAGATGGAGCTTTGGGCTGACCCAGTATGGTCATTCTTATGTTCTACAACTGCACTCAGTCCTACTTCTTGTTCAGCTAATCACTAAGACAAACAAGTTTGTTCACATTTACAGGAGATAGTGCTGTCCTCTTCTTATTTACAATGTCACCAGAAAGTGAGAACTGGCATTGGCATGGCACTTTTGTAGCTGGCATTGCCAGGTATTTATGTGCCAGATATGCTAAACATCCATATGCCCCTGCATGCTTCGGCCACCATTCCAGAGGACGTGCCTCCATGCCGATAACGCTTGTTAAAAAAATAATGCATTAATTAAATCTGTGACTGAACTCCTAGGGGGAGAACTGTCCCCTGCTCTGTTTTACCCTCATTCTGCCATATATTTCATATTATAGCAGTCTCGGATGATGACCCAGCACATGTTGTTCATTTTAAGAACACTTTCACTGCAGATTTCACAAAACGCAAAGAAGATACCAATGTGAGTTTTCTAAAGATAGCTACAGCACTTGACCCAAAGTTGAAGAATCTGAAGTGCCTTCTAAAATCTGAGCGGGACGAGGTGTGGAGAATGCTTTCAGAAGTCTTAAAAGAGCAACACTCTGATGCAGAAACTACAGAATCCGAACCACCAAAAGAGAAAATCAACCTTCTGCTGGTGGCATCTGACTCAGATAATAAAAACCAACATGCGTCGGTCCGCACTGCTTTAGATTGTTATCAAGCAGAACCCATCATCAGCATGGACGCATGTCCTCTGGAATGGTGGTTGAAGATGAAGAGACACATGAATCTTTAGTGCATCTGGAATGTAAATATCTTGGGACTCTGACTACAACAGTGCCATAAGAATGCCTGTTCTTACTTGCAGGTGACATTGTAAACAAGAAGCGGGCAGCATTATCTCCTGCAAATGTAAACAAACTTGTTTGTCTGATCAATTCGCTGAACAAGAAATAGGACAGAGTGGACTTGCAGGCTCTAAAATTTTAGATTGTTTTATTTTTGAATACAGAGATTTTTGTACATCATTCTACATTTGTAAGTTCAACTTTCATGATAAAGACGTTGCACTACATTACTTGTCTTAGGTGAATTGATAAATACGATTTCTTTTGGGGGTTTTTACAGTGCAAGTACTTGTAATCAAAACAAATATAAATAGAGCACTGTATACTTTGTATTCTGTTATAATTGAAATCAATATATTTGAAAGTGTAGAAGACATCCAAAAGTATTTAAATAAATGGTATTCTATTATTGTTTAATCACACCATTAATCACAATTAATTTTTTAATCGCTTGATAGCCCTACTTGCAACCTTTTTTTTTTTTTTTAATCTCAAAATTTTGTTCAATGTTTCTTGGACTATTTTAGCCTCCTTATTCACTGCAATCTCTAGTATTGCTAGCTCTCATAATTTTATCAGGAGAATCACAATATTAGGCATTTCTCTTAAAGCACCAGATCCTGGATTCAGTTGATTACATGAGAATCTCAGCTTTCATTTAGAAAAAATTTCTAGTGATTATGGTTGCAGGGAAAAGCTTGGAAATGTGATCCAAGTGTATTCCAAAGGTGCAAACATTAGAAGGCAAATAAAAAGAACCCAACATTTTTTATTTTTAAAAATCTCATGATTTTAAAGCTGAACTCATTTTCTGAATGTGTAGGTTTGGCAATACTGAATCCCTGCAAGTGAGCTGAGAGCATGAATTAAATATAGGATTTTATGAGAGACAACTATCAAATACATAGTACTGTCTATCTGCTAATAAGTCTAGAGTGAAACTGCAACAAAGAAAGGCATACAAAGAATGTATTGGAGACTTGGGGTATGTCTGCACTAGAATAAAAGATCTGTGACGTGGCTGTGACTGGCCTGGGTCAGCTGACTCAGGCTTGTGGGATTCGGGCTGCAGAGATAAACCCTGCTGCGCAAACATTCAGACTTGGGCTGGAGCTTGGGCTCTGGGACCCTTCCCCTTTATTTGTTTATCATTAAATAAACTTTTACTTGATTTCACTATAAACATATCTAAGTGCTATATGTTACATGGAGCAGTGATCCAGTGGATCTAGTAAACTGGGGTGTACTGTTTCTTTGGAAACAGCAAATCCCTCATCCACACTGCTGGGTTCCAGTAGAAGAGTCATTGTGAGCACAGGAGAGATCAAGCTCCTGGCCCTCAGTTTCAGTGCAAGCCCGACCATGGCTTGGAGCATCCAGTTCGGGGAAAGCCCAGCTTTACCTCATGGCCCTGAGCTGGAGCATGCTCAGTTGCTCTGTAGGGATGATGCCTGCAGAGTCTGATCAGCTCTAGGAGCTGTGAGAAGCTCAAGCATGTTCGGTGAGAACAGAGTCTTCTTAGATTTTAACTCCTCTAAGCATGTGCAAACTGCAATTTTTTCCAAAGACCTGTAAACTCATCAAATTCGGGCACATTTTCATGGGCACAGCAAAAGATCACACTCCAACTAAATTTCAACTCACTGCTTCAAAGCATGGGAGCCCTACCACTGTTCAAAGAAAAAGGTCACCAGAATTTTTTTTTTTATTATGGGTCAAACAATGTATTCCCTCCCCAGCTTTGATCTTGGAAATGGCTGAAGTGTTTTGGCTGAAATTAAAGTCAGGCTGAGGCAGATATATAGCATGTAAAATTTCAGCCCAGACTGTTGAAGCTTGGCAATGTTATAAGCAATTAAAAATAAGATTTCAATCATGGGGAAGCGTAAGACTGCCTTAATCTTACCTCACCTTTAATACTATTTATAGACAAATAAATCAAAATCTAATGCATTGCTGCATTCTTGATAAGTGATGAACTGAGGTCAGACAACCCTACTAACAGTGGCTGCTTTAGAAAACAGGGAGGCAATTTCAAGCTCTTGCCATGCATGTTATTTGGAGCTCCATTGTTAGATCTCAGAACACTATGGTAGAGAAAATGCGTATTTCAGTACACATTTCAAGTGAACTCTGAATTTCTTTTTTGAACTGTGGAAGTTATATTACACTGTGTGTGTGTGTCAAAAGTGCACATTTTTCTTCTCCTTCTCCTCCCCCCCTCCTCCCCCCATTCGCTTTAAGAATGGATAACTCATTATGAGGGAAGAGCAAAGTCTTTATTAGTTTTGGGAACCCCACTTCAGTGAACCAGAAATAAATCCACATTTTGTACATGTTGGCATCTCTTACCATGCAAGTATCTAAAGCATCCATCATCCTGTTACAATCCCTGTTCCATGCAGCTGGCTTTTACCACATCCATGTTTTTACCTTCGCCTACTGCTCAGTGACCTCAATTTGCAGTAAGAATTATGTAACCACCGATTCTATAAAGTCACACACAACTTTGCTCTTTTCCTACCCCTGCAGCTCTGTGATCTTGTTTCAACATGTGATTCATTATTCAGCATGATGGACCTGATGGAAGGTGTTACCAGTAACAATAGTGTCTAAATACAGCAGTGATGCAATAAGTGCCTGACTTAGTAAAATTTGGATGTCATATCACGTATCATAATGTAGATCTTCATACATCTGAGAGCTACAATGAGGTTTTACATGTATTTTAAATTTACCAAATATTGAAGAGCTTCTGACTACCACTATACTTTGAAAAAATGTGTTTAAATGCCATCTTGAATTTCAGTAGAAAAGCTTTGTGATTCATTTTGCTTCTAGAAAACTATTCACCCTCTGAGTGCTATAAAATTGAAATAGATAAGTCCATTTGATTTAAAAGTAGCAACTATTTTAGAATTGGTTATTTTTCTTTCCATTTCATTGCTACACTGACAGTGTGTCAGTTGCTGAACTACAGTTACCCTTTGCTGAGGTCATTGATTTCTCAGTCATTCAAAAGTAAAGAATTCTGGTAACACCCCACTGAAAACAAAACAAA